TTGGCGCAAGAGTCGTTTTGACGTTTTCCGCCACGCTGTTTAAATAGCAAATGCATTTGCGCTCATATGTGCGCCCATAGGCATTCTGGTCTAAAAGGAAGGCATTCTGAGGCGCATTGCTGGCGCGTTGCTATTTTGAGAAACTATAATAGATTTTTAATAGACCAAAACAAAGTCGGTCTAAAGTTGAGCGCAGAGTGCGTTAGTTGTGCTCCTCACACTTGTGCTTAATACACACAAGACGTAGAGCAATATGCAAATATCTTTACAAATGAAGAATAATTAACATATTAAGGATATAGAAAAAAAAATGCTTTCATGCCTTCATCTCAGGAGGCTTTTTCAGTTCATTCATTCATAACAATTTACTTTTGTATAATGTTATAATATTATTAGCAGTATTATTTATTATATCCATATTTATATTTGTTTTATTAAAAACAAGCTTAGATTTGGCCACCTGTCAGGTTTCAGACCATATGGGGAACAGCATGTGTATTAGGATATAACTCAGATTTTTGAGCACACTTCGTTATTATTGTTCATTTATTTGTTCACTGGAAATTAATGCTGAATTTAGAAATAGTTTTGAAACAAATATTTGCGCTTAACAAACAAAATTAATTATTTATAGGCTTATTGATGTCTGTGCGTACAAGGTTTCCTTATCCACGAGAGCGTAAGTAGATTATGAGATGCCTTATCTCTCATTCTCGCGCTGTAGATGCTCTGTTTAACAGTTTTCTTGCTAGTGAAATGCTCAGTTTTTCCACTTCCACTTACTTTACGTCTTGTGAATAGCAAATGCGCTTATGGCGCGACACATCTGGCTCTTAAAGGGAATATGAGATGAGACTCTGATTGGTTTATTCTCAAAACACACCCATAACTCATTAAGAAAATGAGCTCAACCCCTTTAGACAGATTTTTTCGGCCTTAAAATAGCAAAAGTGGATTCTGACACGCCCTGAAAGCAGTTGTGCATGGACAGTCAAAATAGAGCCCTTAGAGTCAAGAGCCCTGTCTAAAGATGAGGGGTAATAGGAATGGGTGGGAGAACGGGAACTTGACTGTCTGGCTTTAAGTCAATAAAACAAATGTATTCAATATTTAAAGAAATGAGAGAATAAATAAATAAAGTTAATAAATGCATTTATCTGTCTGCTTAGATTCTTCCTTAAACTTGACATATATATATATATATATATATATATATATATATATATATATATATATATATAAACATTGTAAATTTGAGTAGTTACTGTGGTATTGCTGCCTGATTTTGCAAAGAGTTTCTTGGCAAGTAATAAAGAAAAATGCCTGGTAAATTTGTCCTCATGAATTCACCCTCATGCCTTCCTAAAATTCCTTATTTTGTGCTCCAGAGAAGTCATTAATACAGGCCTGAAGCAACAAGGATGCAAGTAATTTGTTATTTTTTGTAGAACTACATTTAAATTCAATTGTAGTACAAGGTTGTCATAATAAAAAAAAAGCCAGTGCTGCATTAGTATCAAACAGAGCCATGTATGATGCTGGTAGGTGATTACACTATCCTGGATCTGCATGGTTCTGTTCATCTGCCAGAAAATCTCAGTGGTGTCCAGCACTGCTAGCCAGTTCTGCTGTGACTGTGTGTTTGGCCACAGGAAGGAAATAGAACTGGCTAATTCAGAAACAGACCTGCGAGCTGGCCCTTCTTCCTCACGCTGTTCATCAAACATGAGGCACTAAAGCCCGAGCTTTCCTTTTACGTCTCTATTAATGCCAGTGACTGGAATCAGAGCCAAACGACAAACATACGCAAACAAACCCTGGCTGGGACAGTTTTATAGTGTAAAACATTAGGGTGAGTTTATTTATGTGCAGATGACCGTCTGTGAGACACATTGTGACCGCATCAACCCCGTCCTGTCCCGCAGTGCGGTTTTACAGTCTTTAGAAGTCTTCACAAAACGGCACCATTTCAAAAAAGTACTGACAGATTTACCAACCATCCATCCGTGAGCGATTCCATTCAGCCCAGCAGGACAAATAATCCCAACAGCCACGCAGGCAGTCCAAGGACACCGCGGCTCCGTCTCTCCGGTTTTGATTTATCGGCTTTGCCGCCGGAGAGATGCGATCGGAGCGTATCTGTGCTGGACCGAGGGAGCCCGGTCTTAATCAACAGAGCCTCACAGATGTACAGAGATGATTAGGCAGTCCAGTAACCCGCTGAGACTCAACGGTCAATGCCAGGCACGGATAGGAGATCTCTGTAAGTGCGCTAAAAGGAAGCTGAGATAGCAAGCTGAGCGCATGCAACAGCACATTTGAGGTGGATGTTTATTTTAGCAGATGATCCCAGATCAGCCTTGGGGGTAACATCAGCGTGTGTGAGCTGGTGTTACTTATGTTTGTAAGTAGTAAGTTCCTTCTGCTCACTGGCGGGATGGTGTGGACTAGTGGTAAAAGATAACCACACAGCTGTTGGTTGGAGCCCCTCAAGGGCCGATCTATAAGTGCTGTTGTGCCTGGGGCAAAGCACTTAACCTCATGTAGCTCCAGATAGACTGTCCATATTAAAAGTGCACCATAAGACAGCGTAAGAGCAAAAATGTAACAAAATAGGGTTTATAAAAAATTGATTGACAAAAAGTGATTTCTAGGTTACTGCATAAATCATAGAAGCTAGATTTTGGAGATCCTCATCCTTACAGTGTTTTTCAACCATGTTTCAGGAGGACCACCAGCACTGCATGTTTTGGAAGTCTCCTTTGTCTGTCACACCCATCACACGTCTTTCAGTCTCTGCTGATGAGCTGATGATTTGAATCAGGTGTTTGGTTAAGTAGGCATGGAAAATGTGAAGATCTAGTCGTCCTCCAGGACCGTGGTTGAGAAACATTGCTCTAGAGGTCTTGTTTGTGACCCTGGACCACAAAACCAGACTTAGGTTGCTCTGATATATTTTAGTAATAGCCAAACAATACATTGGGTCAAAATGATAGATTTTTCTTTTATGCCAAAAATCATTAGAAAGATCTTTACAAATGTCCTGCTGTAAATACATAAACTTATATATTAGTAATGTGCATTACTAAGCTCTTCATTTAGACAATAGACCATTAGCTAAGCCCCGCCCTCCTTAGTTACTGTTGCTACGCCTGTCAAGCTTTCATGCCTGGCATGTCTACTACAACGTGTACAACTCTGTTCTATGCTGCCTGTCTCAACCAGGACTCCCTGGTAAAAAATATGTTATATGTCAATATACTCTGGGACATTCCTGGCTAAAAAAGTAAATAAATAAAATAAATAAAAATCTATTATGCCAGTTTTAAAGTCACATGACCCTTCAAAAATTATAATTATAAAATTATAAATTAAAATTATAAATTAAAATTAGAATTATAAAATTATAATGTGCTGAAAGTGAATGACTTGCATCACTTTTGATTGGTCACTAGATGTTTTAAATAAACCAATAATAAAAAGACAGTTTAGTTTAATGTTCAGTTCTCTCAAATAACAATCTTTGACTTTTGCTTTAAAAAACTTGTAATTTGTGGTTTATTAATATAATGTTTTTAATTTAGGAATTGGGTAGATTTAGGAATATAGAGTGAGAATATAAAGCTGGCAGCTAGCTCTCTGCAAATCTCACATTGTTACCCAGTAAGGCTAAGCAGTGCTGTGCCAGTTCAGTACCTGAATGGCAGACCACATAGGAAAGCTATGTTGCTGCCGGAAGTGGTGCTAGTGAGTTTAGCAGGAGGCGCTCTACCTGTGGTCTGTGTTGGGCCTAACGCCACAGTATATTGATGGTGACTCTATACTGCTCAGTGAGCGCCGTCTTTTGGATGTGACGTTATACTGATATCCAGCCTCTCTTTGGTCATTAAAAATCCTAGCATGTGCTTCAAAAAAAGAGTAGGGGTTTAACCCCAGCATTCTGGCCAAATTTGCCCACTGGCTTCTGTTCATCATGGCCTCCTAACATCCTCATATCAAAATTGTCTTCTTTACTCTGCCTCCTCTCCACCAATCGTGTGGTGTGTGGTCTGGCGCAATAAAGCTGCTGTCATGTAATCCAGATGGATGCTGCACACTGGTGGTGGACGAGGAGATTCCCTTCAAAAAGGTATAAAGTGCTTTGAGTGTTAAGAAAAAGTGCTATATAAATATAAGGGATTATTATTAAAGCTGATATATTAATAATAGGCAGAAAATAGGCCACTACTAAGAATTGGTAAAACCAGTTGGTAAAAATAAAATGCTACCAAAAAATCAGCAATTTCTGCAGTGGTCATCCATTCTATATTATTATACTAACCATTATTGATATTCTCAGTGTACACACATTGATCAAAGCAACTCTGATCTGCTCAGATAATTGCACATTGTGTGAAATATGCACATTGACACTCTGAAATCTCCATCGGAAAAATTACATCCTTTCTATAGTGTTGGCATTAGCAGCAAAAAATCATCAATTCAAAAGTCAATTTTAAAGCCTTCAACACAGGTAGCATTCAAAATCAGTCAACCTTTTAAGCCGCTAACAGTTGTTCCTTTTATCAATAACAGATAGAGATGAAAGAAACAACTACAAAAGATAAAAAAACACGCTTGAAATGAGCTATGCCGCTTTTCAAAGTTTTCTGAACATAAAGCAGCAACTCACGCCTGGGTCAAGTGCTAATCCGACAGGAGGGAGAGGAAAAAAAAGAGAAAAGAGTAATATTTCTCTATGTTGCATCACTGGATCAGTCCTTTCAGCTGTCAAAATCTGCACCAGCAAACACTAAATGCAACAATCAGTCTCTTTCAAGCTCCTACAGATAGCATGGTATGTTTGATGGGGATTGAACTGAAAGATGAAACGCTGAGCCCAGTGTCTGCCGCTGTAGAATTTGACATTCTGGACATGGCTCTCCCATCAGGCACTGCTGGATGTTTGTATTGGAAAGACAGAAACAGATAAAAGAGAAGGACAGCATATGCGTATTTACCTGTTCCCAGTTCGATGTGCTCCAAAGAAGTGTGCTGGTTCTGATGGACCCACTCGCCGTTGCATTTAAAGAAGATCTGGAGTGCTGGTCTCGCACGGCAGCGGAGTTTGATGGGGTTGCTTTTGACGATATATGCATCATCGGGCTCCTGCAGGAAGTGAGGAAGCGTTCCAGACATTGCCGACTGACCATCACGTGACCCTGCAAATAAATAAAATGAAATAATTCAGACATTAGCTCTATTGGAAAAAAGTTATTGTTACTGTACCTACTGTAGGCCTATGTTATTTTCATTACACACACTATAAATACATTTACAGTGAAACAAAGAATACCCACATAAAAACAGCTAAGAGGAAACATCAATTTCAGCAAACATAAAACATGAAGGGTCATGCTGGGAATCTTAAACATTTATTCACTGTATATTGTAAGGAGACTTAACATGAACCAGTTAACATTTTTCCCATAAAAAAAAAAAAAAAAAAAATCACATCCTTCATTCATTACTTCCTTTATATGGTTATACGATGAAGTCTAGAAGAGATACAGCTGCCAATACTTGGGGAAGCAAACAATATAGAATCATTTTTGTGATGTGTACAACAATAATTACTATTTTTACATTTCTGTAAGTGGTAGGTTTAGGCTTGGGGTAAAGGTAGATGTTAATAAAATATAATATAATGAGCACATTAATAAATGATATTAAATAATTTTCATTCACTTCCAGATGCAGGTGTACCCCTTCAAGCAACAAAACAGTTATGCAGTATAGCTCCAATAGACTCAAAATGGCTCTCAGTCCTTGGATGGTCTTGTTTGTTGTTTAGGTGAGATTAGAGCCTGGTGGGCAATATTAATTAGACTGAGTGCATTGTCTTGCAGTCTCTTTTACTGCTGAAGAGGATGATTAGTGCATCAGATCATGTCAAAAAGTTGTGTTATAATGAATTTGCCTTTAATTTTAGATAAACAGCTTACTAGTGATCATCATGCATTGATTATTGTAATTCTTATATAAGTATTTCACAGTGTGTACTGTTACAGTGGGTACTTTATAGGTATTTTACATGGTCAATTAGCTGTTCTTTAATTAGTGTAAAATTCTGCTGCAAGACATTTGGTTCTCACACACACATGCATACTGGATGGATGGATGGATGAATGGATGTATAGAGACAGACAGATATTTCCGATGGATGGATGGATGGATGGATGGATGGATGGATAGATAGATGGATAGATAGATAGATAGATAGATAGATAGATAGATAGATAGATAGATAGATAGATAGATAGATAGATAGATAGATAGATAGATAGATAGATAGATAGATAGATAGATAGATAGATAGATAGATAGATAGATAGATAGATAGATAGATAGATAGATAGATAGATAGATCTGGTAAAATTCTTGCTAGTAAAATTTAGAATTGAATTTAAATTTCTATTGATTGTTTTAAAATCATTGCATGGTATTATCCCAAAATATAAAGATGTAGTCTCTGGCTTTACAATATATCACCACATACAAATACACAACACAGATACATGACCACATATAAATTTAAAAAATCAAATCAAAATAAATCCATCTGACTGACAGCTAACTATCTGCGAGTTCCTATAATCAGACACATCAGCCAGGGCTCCCTGACAGCAAGCTTACTCACTTCCTTAACTGGCCTGTCAGTCTCTTTTAAAAGCACTCTCAGCTTGGATGACGTTCTCAAGCGAGCACCATATGAGGTGGTGACACAGAGATAAAGTGAAACTGCCCTAAAGCAGCTGATGATGATTTCAGCACCATGGGCAGTGGCCAGTTGATACTGAAGGTAATAGCATTTTCAGGACCACGGATAGCTCCTCTGGGCTGAGCAGCTTCACAATTAATCAGACATTATAATGTCATTTTTTTGGCCTGTTTCAAAATCTAGTGATCTGCTAATTGAGGCAGCATTTTAAGGTAGCATATCCTTGCCAACACACATGATGTTCCAAAAGGTGTGTGATTAAATTAAGCTGCCTTCTAAAATATGTTTGACTAACCTAAGGCAGAGCCACTTGTTTTCAGGTAATCCTATATTTTTTGTAATGATTTCAGAGGAAATTTTAGATGTCAATTTTTGCATGAGATATTAAAATCGCAAAAGCAAATTATGATACTACAGTACCAATCAACATTATAATCATTCCTGTAGTTTGTTTGTTTGTTTTACTGTGTATTCATCTGGAGAAGAAAAGACTATACTAACTAGATGCACACTGTACAAAATAGATTACTTTATACAAAATAATGTTTAGGTAATGGTTTTACCCGTTTATTTATGTAAAGTCACTTGATTGCTTTAAAAACCTCTGCTTTTTAAAATAAAGTCAACTAAGTTGTGAAACCTGTAATTCAAAGGTTTAAATGATGTGTGAGTATTAAATAATTATAAATGCAAAAAAATGTATGCATATCACATGGAAGACTATATTTCTCACATGCTACAACATTTCTTTCCAATACAGTATAGAAAAATAAATAATACAAAATGTAATGGTTGTAAACTGTGACTGATGGTTGGAAGGACAGTTTATGATTTGGCTTGGTTAGATTTAGATTTTATTAGATTTATTTTTTTATTTATTTGTGATTTCATTTCTAAACCCCCTTTTTAAAACCTTTTTTAAAAGTAAAACCAAAATTATGCCCCGTTTGATAAATAACACAATAATCTTAGAAAATATTAGGCAATACATCTGTTTGATGCACCTTTGATGCACAATGTGTGCACATAAAATGTGGTCAAATGACCTGTATTCATTTTTTCAGTTAACTGGCTGAGTGTTGAATTAAACGTATTTTATAGTTTCTTATTCCAGATTTTATTTATTTTTATTAATTTTACATTTTCACAGATTTTCTTTTATAACAGTATAGACAAAACATTTGTATTTAAACATCAATTTCACATATTAATGTAAAAAAAATAACCATAAAGTTTGTGCTAATTTTTATGAATTTTTATAATTCTTTTAATTCAAAAACAAAGAAAGGAGAAGTAAAATAAGGATTTGTGATGATAAAAAACAAGTTGATTGATTGAGTACTTGGAATACTGAATTATTAAATTTCTTTCTAAGTATTAAGTGCTTTACTAATCATGAGGTTCATTTTTGTTTCAGTTTTTAGTTTCAAAGTGCTTTGACAAATTTGTTATACCAAAGCAATACATTAACAGTGACAAAGAAATACAAAATGCATAACATTAAAGAACAAAACAAACAAAATAAGATATTAAAATGCTAATGTAACTTAGTAACAAAAATATAAAAATTGTGGTGGACACTTTCTGCTGATATCAATGCTTTCTACATCTTTTTTTCTTATTACTCCCTCCTTCAAAATGTTCAGAAACTCCCTTATTATATCTGTCAAATAAAAGAAAACATCCGATGCTTTAAAAGTAAAATAAAAGTCCTGTAAATCTGTAATAGACTGGCTATTAAAAAGCTGGAAAACTGTTCTTGACATGCCCTATGAAATGGAGCACATGCGGGTGTGAAATTCCATTTCACACAGGGATATTTGGAGGAAGATTTAGGGTCTAAAAGTGTCTGGTGGATAAAAGAGCCACATGAGAGTGACAGGAGCTGAAATATCCACAGTGATTCAAAGCAAACAGTGATTTAGAGCAACTCCTCTCCTCCGCTTCTCACGTTTCCCTCATGCCATTTCTCTTTCTGTCACACACACACACAAAGCAGACACACACAAACACACACTTGAAGACTCTCCCTCACTAATAAAACTGTCAAAGATGTAATTGGAAGAGATATTTTGGAAGTGATTTCCCAGACTGAAATCTTAAGCATAATAGAGATTTCTGTTGACTTGTAATCCTTCCCTGAGAAACTTTCGATGCATGTGTCTATGTGTCTGTGTGTGTGTCTGTGTGTGCAGGTGTGTGTAATCTTCTGGCAAACATACCTGATTCCTCTTGATTAGAATGAATAGGGAAATGTGTGTGTATATAAGTGTGTGTTACTCACACTGAGAAAATCACAGCCTCTCCTTCTCTCTCTGTCTCTTTCACACCACAGGACAATTTTATCACTTAAGTGTTTTTTTCATCACTCTGTAGACTTGAAGTCAACATGCACTTTCTTTATATACATTTCTGGTCTTGCTGTGAGTGTAAACACGCCATGCTTTTACTTTAAAATGATAATACAATGCAGTCTTTTAAAGAAACACTCCATTTCTTTTTTTTTATTTTATAACTCCCCTGATGTAAAACAGTAGAATTTTACAATATTTCAATCCACTGAGATGATCTCTGGGTCTGCCGTGAACATGTTTAGCTTAGCTTAGCATAAATCATTGAATCGCATTAGACCAGGGGTCAGCAATCCTGGTCCTGGAGGTCCGGTGTCCCTGCAGGGTTTAGCTCCAACTTGCCTCAACACACCTGCCTGGATGTTTCAAGTGACCTTGATTAGCTTGTTCAGGTGTGTTTGATTAGGGTTGGAGATAAAATCTGTAGGACACCGGCCCTCCAGGAACAAGTTTGGTGACCACTGCATTAGACCATTAGCATCTCACTCAAACATTTCAGCAAAGTTCCTTGATTATTATCTTTTTATTCTTAATTACAAGAAGGAAATACTCTTTCTCCACTTAATCTTAACTCATATTCAAGTCTGACTCAGTTGTACTATAGTTATATACTTTATGTGTCAACTTATTCCAAATAATTCTCAAAATAATCTTTAAAAATACAAACACAAGACAAACTGTGACAAAAGTGTTTAGCGTTACATAAATATAATTCATGTTTGGTATTTTTTTTCACATATATATATATATATATATATATATATATATAAATTTTTTCTGATGCATTAAATTGATCAGACATTCATTCATTTTCTTTTGGCTTAGTCTGTATTTCAGTGGTCGCCACAGTGGAATGAACTGCCAAGTCATTCATTTATTTTTTTTTTTCGGCTTAGTCCCTTTATTAATCTGGGGTTGCCACAGCGGAATGAACCGCCAACTTATATAGCATATGTTTTATGCAGCGGATGCCCTTCCAGCCACAACCCAGTATTACGAAACATCCATACACATTGACACACACACACACACACACAAACACGCGCGCGCCCGCGCAAACAAGCCTCAGAATTGGCAGTTTTTAAGTAAC